CCAGACTAGAAGGAGAAAAATACAGAACAGAATTTCAAATTCTTATGGACACCAGACGAGCCACTCAGGCCGGAAGAATCCCTAAAGCTATTGCCCTGAGATAACCTTTCAACCTGAAGCTAAAAAGAGCCCCTGAGGTCTTCTTCAAACCAGACCATCGTGCATCTTAACTAGTAAAGGGAGTCTGCTTTGTGCGTCACAGTCTGTAAAACACCGATCACTATGGGATCAAAGTGGCAACGGTCGCACAAAAGGTTAGACAGGAAGCTTACGGGATAGCGAGTTCCTATTACAGGGGAGGAACAACTGAGAGAGGAAGGACGGGAATGGCCGCACATTCGCAGAATGCAGTCAGTATGACTGAACGGTAGATGGACCCGGTGAGCTGTTGCTCTGCTGCGTGTCCGCAACAATAAAACAATTTTTCAAACCCCTTGGAGCACAGTCCCACTGACAGACACAGGGTCACTGTCAGGCAGGTTGACTCGGCGGCGGCTGGTTCGGTTCTGTTTTGGTACTCCCCTAGTCTAATGTCCAGAACCGAGTAACATCCTCAACTTCCCAAAGGCAAGCAGGGACTTAACACAAATCACTTTATTTAAACAATTCCATCCGGATCCCAGATACGGTGGGAGAACAATGTGGAACAAAACTCAAAATCTTAAAAAAGACCGGGCTTACTGTTTGATAGGGCTGGTGAGACCCCCAAGACTATGGCCCCTAGTCACCCTTCAGGCCTGGAAATAAACTCACTCCCGTGCCCTCCAGCCGAACAGCAGACAGGCATACATGGGGAACATTTACATCAGGCAGATACGCTCCTTAGAACGACCCGTCATTGGAGAACGGAAGGGCTGTGTGTGCACAGGGAGAGAGTGGAGGGGGGTGGAGGGGGATGGGCGGGGACCCATGGGGGGAAGGACACAGGGAAGAGGTAACCCCAGGGAGGAAGTGGGCAGAGAGCTGTTACACTGTGGGGAATTGGAGTCAATGTCATGAAACAAAATGTGTATGAATTGCTATGTTGAAAATGAATTTGCTCTATAAACTTTCACTCAAAACCCACCAGCCACTCCTCGGAAGGAAGATGGGTCAATCTACTTTCGTAGTGATACTGCCTCTGAAACCCAAGGAGGGGTCGTCGCCCGGGTCCGACTCTACAGCACATCACAACAACAAAAACAACTAATCATAATAAAAATTTTTAAAAATAAAAATAAAAATCCGTGCACAGGGAGCCCCTTTGACTGGTTCTTGGAATGGTGGAGAACCTCCCAAAACCCAAGTTCCTAGACAGCAAGCAAGTGCAAGCTGGGCTTTCCACGGAAGCAGGACCAGCTCCATGATGGCCCTTTGCCCGGGAATAGTGCCCCATCTGTGAGCTGCCATGTCTGCATCTGGAAAACGAGGGAAATGACACTGAACTATGTTGTCGTGATGAAATCAGCTGAGAGACTCAAATTCCAAAAAACCAAGCCCGCTGCCATTGAGTCAATTCCGACTCAAGGCGACCCTGTGTGAAAAGACAAAACTGGCCGACAGGGTTCTCCGGGTGGTCATCTCGTCTCCCGCTGAGCTGCTGTGGGTTCAAGGCAGTGACCGTCCGGTGAGCAGCTAACCACTAAACACCAGGGCTGAGACATGAGCTTGTGTCTAATTTTATATCCAGAGATACAGGTCCCACTCTATTTAGGAAAAATCTGTTTGTAATGGTATTTCCTGCCCTGTGGAAACTACTAACAAAGTAACCTTTTGAAAGAACAAGCAATCATGTAACCTGGGTCACAGACGTTCATGGCAGCATTAAGTCACAAGAGTCACTAGGTGGAAACCAGCCAAATGTCCATCCATACGGGAGGGACAAACAAAACGGGGGGGGGGGATGTAACATACACGGGATGGAAGACTACTCGGCCATAAAGGAGCAGAGGAACCTTGAAAACAATAAACTCAGGGAAAGGACCCAGACATGAATGGTTACCCACTTCATGAGGCAACTGATGTGACATGTCCAGAAAAAAGGCACCCAGGAGGCGCAGTGGTTAAAGCATTCAGCTGCTAACCAAGAGGTCGGTGATCAGAATCCACCAGCCACGCCAAAGGAGAAAGATACGGCAGTCTGCTTCAGTAAAGACTGACAGCCTTGGAGACCCTGTGGTGCAGTTCCACTCTGTCCTCTAGGGGCGCTGTGGGTCAGAATCCACTCCAGGCAGTGGGTGTGGTTTGGGCTTTGCTTCTGTGAAGATTGACAGCCTTGGAAACCCTGTGGTGCAGTTCCACTCTGTCCT